CCCCAACTAAACACCTATCGTCCTAATCTCCTCGCCTTTTTAAAAAAAGAGTTTGTTACTCTTTTGTAACAACTCTTTTTATCAGCACTTATATCACCTTATTGTGTTGAAAGTGCCATTAAACTCTTATTGGAGCTTAAACGTTTGTTCAATGATGTTCTCTCTGGTTTTACTTTACAGAATGGCAAAGAGCTGTACGGGTCTGAGATCCGCGAAGACTTGAACGCCGTGCTGCAGGAGTGGTTTCCTTACAACCCCAGTCGGCGACAGAAGTAAGTGAGAGGTGGGGGGGGGGGAGGGTTGAGATGTGTGTGCGTTTGTGTATTGTCTGTGTGTACATGTGTGTGTACGTGTGTGTATGTGTGTGTGCATGTGTGTACATGTGTGTGTACATGTGTGTGTGTTTGCGTGTGTGTGTGTGTATGTGCTGCTCACTCTCTCCCTGTTTCATCTCTCATTTACTCATTCTCTCCCTCTCTTGTTACATGGTCTCTCTCTCTCTCTCTCTCTCTCTTGTTTCTCTCTCGCTCTCTCTCTCTCTCTCTCTCTCTCTCTCTCTCTCTCTCTCTCTCTCTCTCTCTCTCTCTCTCTCCCTTTTTCTCTCTCTTTCATGCGCTGCACAGTGGTGACCAGCAATGGCGTGGTTGTGAAATTGTTTTGTATTGGTGTAATATTTTGTATTTATATATGTATATGTGTATACATGTATGTATGTGTATATTCATAATTATGTATCTATATGTACGTATGTTTGCCATTGTTAGCCAAATTGCCCTTCTGGGATCAATAAAATTGTAATGTATTATTTTATTAATTTTGATAACACTGCTGTCTTCCCTCTCTCTGGTCTAGGTTGCGCAGTGTGTTTGTTGACCTGGTCATTGAGATCTTGCTTCACAAAGGGACGGGGTGTCACCATAGCAACAAAGAGGCCACCGACTCCCAGCCAGGCAGCCCGCTGGGCTCTGGCCGTGTGCAGAAGTGCCAGTCCAGCTCCTTTATACACTTTGAGGAAGGTGAGATCACACCGGAGCTGTCACATAACTGAAACTCTTAGTTATTACTTTCTGTTTGATATAATAGAGAGCTATAAAGACAAAACAGAAAAGTGGGAAGACATGGAGTAACATCAAGAGGCTAGCCCAGGATAGGGAAAGGTGGAAAGTGTTTGTTCGTGGCCTATAACCTGACCCAGGGTGAGAAAGACAATGATGATGATGATGATTAAGACAAGGAATGTCTTTCTGACATACTGGTAGACAGTTTACTGTTTGACAGACATACAGACAGAGGTGAGAATGGATGGGCAGATGGACAGACAGATAGACTGACAAATAAAGAGACAGTCAGTGGTTTATGAGCAGATGTTAATATGTTTCTGCTTAAAGAGAGCCATGTTATTGAACAAGATTAACACTTTGCGGTCACTTGCCGCAATAATGCGACGGTGAAAATTATCCATTCCGGTCACCCGACGCAGTTCTGCAACAGGCCCGAGAAGTTTGTTGCATTCACTCTCTGGGCTAGGTGACAAGATGGGGTATTTTGTACTGCTGGCAATGTGACTGGAAATGTTAAACTCTTTCACCCTCCGTTTCAGATCAAGCTCACAAACTTCCTCAAGGCTGTGTGCTGGAGCGAATCTTCAGCATCCAGTCGTTGGATGACCTGGGCATTGAGAAGGTGTTCCCCTTGTACAAGAGGCTCAAGGCTCGCATGGAAGCAGAGCCTGGCTTGAGGTTTGTGTCTGATGTTGTCTGTTTTACCGGATGATTTGTTTGTGTAAAGAAAAACACATTGACACAATAATGGTCATTTAGTGTCGGGAAAAAGTGAGGCAGACAGACTGACAGAATCAACAGAGGGAAAGTAAAGAAGTAGGACCTACCAGTGGTTTGTTTGTTTGAGTAAAGAGAAGCACATTGACACAATAATGGTCATTTAGTGTTGGGGAAAAGTAAGACAGACAGACAGAATCAACTGAAGGAAAGTAAGACCTACCAGTGGCACCCTCCAGCCACCCGCTTACCGATGGTGAGAGAGGGGGTTGGGTGGGTGTGGATGGTTAGTTGGAGATTGTGGGAAGTGGTGAGAGGTTGTCAGTGCTGGTGGGTTGTATTATGAGGGGATGGGACATTTATAATGTTTGGTACAATTTTTTTATGACTCTGGTTGATAATGATAGGTGTTCTGGTGTGGTATACTCCCTTCTTTCCTATTAAACGTCTGTCATCCTTATCTCTCCCCTTTCTTTTCTTTGTATCACTCTCTAGTACCACTTCTTATCGTTGATACTTGAATGGCCTGTTTGTGTTGCAAATGCTGTAAAACTGTTACTAAAACTAAATCTGAATTCTTCGATATTAAAATGACTTAATTCCTCTAGACAGAGAAATTTATACGGTTTTTATTGCTTCTACAGAGAGAAGTGGGGTCTGAATGGTCCCTACGATGACCTGTCCTGGCTACTGGGCAGCCAAGGGGAGCAACTGGAGGATCTTGACCCCGGCTCTGAGGAGTACGACGTGCTCAAGGTAAGTTGCTGTAAGCTTAACTCCTCTTTCCATACAGCGTGGTGCATTTTGCGTCCTGAGCCACATATGCTTTATGGCAGTAAGTTGTGTTTTGCTGCTCAGCGAATTTGTTTATTATCAAGACAGTCTTGTTTTCACACTCACTCACTCACCTGTCGTGTGTGTTTTGTCTTCTTTTACTGCCAGTTTCTCTCTCTCTCTCTACCTCTCTCTCTCTCTCTACCTCTCTCTCTTTCTCTCTCTCTCTCTCTCTCTCTCTCTCTCTCTTTCTTTCTCTCTCTCTCTCTCTCTATCTATCTCTCTCTCTCTTTATCTATCTATCTCTGTCTCTCTCTCAGTGGGTGGTTGGCGGATGCTCTGGTGTGGTATGCTTCTTCTTCTTTCCTATCAAACATCTATCATCCTTATCTCCCTTTCTTCTTTTTTATGTTTGTTACTCTCTTGTAACACCTCAAATTTTCTGGTGCTCATATGACCTTATGCAGTTGCGAGTGCCGTAAAACCTTACTAATACTAAACTAAACTCTCTCTCTCACTCAACCAGTGCAGCTTGGCATGGACATTTTTTTAAAATTGTGTGTGATCATGTCTATTAATTCCACTCATAATACTTATAATGAAGATTTATGTCCATTCTTTCCACTCAAGATTCCTTACCTTACTTAAAAAGTTTGCTCATATCAGTTCCTTACACTTAATGTTTTTCAAATATAAAGAGCTTTCTTAACTTTTCACTCCAGGTGAAACGGTTTTTGATCTCGAAGACCTTACAAGACTGCTCCATCATCGTTGCCATCAAGCCTGCTGGGACAAAGTGAGTGTTTGAGTTATTGTGATGGGGGAGCACGAGGGGTGGTGTTGACCCATGGAGGTTCACTCCTTCACGTGTCGAGGGACGTAATAAAAGTTTCTCTATGCCTCTCTTTTCCTTTTGTCTTACAAGCAGGCAAGGATAGCTATCCTTTGAAATGGTCGGAAACCTTGTTTTGTGTTAGTGAGTCTCTTGGAGAGGGAGGTGTGTGGAGGGAGGCGATTCCTCTCTGATTCAATCTTTTTCTTTTGAAAGTAGGCTGATCATTGTGTTTGCCTTTTCAGTGGATACACAGGCTACAAAATAATTAGTGAATACACAGTGGTAGGTGTTTATGGAATGTGTATCCTGGTATTTCATGATGGTGTTTGTTTTTTAAGATATTTTTTTTACTCGTAGCTTTTTTTTTCAAAATATGTAATTCTTTTTTCCCCCTTGATGAATGAGTGACTTCTTGTTTTCAAAACAGATATTTAAACTTTATTTAAGACAGACATAAATTTGTTTGAAATGTCTTTGCTTTTTATTAACATTGCTATTCATATAAATGTTTTCCTAAGGTAAATAATTGTATTTGTTCTTTTGAAGAATGAGTTGTATGGTTTGCTGAACAACTGTCATTTAAATATTTCGCAATACAGAAGTTTTTTGTATGCAGTGTTTTATATCAACATTTTGTTTTGTGACTTTTTTTTTTCTTCGAGAATTAAATATAATATATTCTATTTGCTCTTTTCAGGAATATCTTGTATTGTTTTTAGAGAGATAAATTTATTTCACCCTGAACATTTTGAGGTTTTTTTTGTTGTTTGCTACATATTTATCATTTCTATTCTCATCATTCTGTTTTCAAAAGGTGTAATTCTATTTGCAATTATAACAAAAGACATGTATTGTTTGTAAACAATTATTTTTACTTTTGTTTCTTTTTTTTTTTCTTCTTTTGTGTCCAGTGAGAGCATAAAGAGCATGGAAGACTACTTACGCTTTGAGGGTGACTTGTACGACTTCTCTGTCAGTATTGTGGACCTCGACCCCAAGCCGTTTGAGAAGGTGAAGACGTACTTCCGACAAGCCACGGACATCGCAAGTGCTTTCTCTGAGATGCCGGGCAGTGGCTACATCTTGGCCTGCCACGGTACGGGCTCCTGATAGTGGACAGAGGATACTGTTGTCCCTGTGCTCGTGTCTCGATTTTTAAAAAATGAAATATTGTTCCCCTTTTTTTTTCAGTTTTCAATAACTTTTTCAATGTTTTTTTCCCCTTTACGTATATTCTATTGTGAAATATTATGTTGGGCATTCTTTACCAGAAACGTAACAATTTGTTTGTTTTTTCATTAATAGCGACTGGAACTTTTTTGTTTATGTCATATTAAAAATGTAAGTTTCTCATAAAGAGCATAAGCTTGGTAATTTATTTTAGATTATGTTGTGAAAACGTCTTTCGCTACAAGCATTGGCTTTTTTTTTTCTTGTTACTTTGTTGTGAAGGTTTGAAAACGAAATGCCTAGTATTCATGTGTTCACCAGGGGTGCAGTAGAAATTTTTCAAAGCCAGTTTTTTCATTTAGCCCACATGCTCGCTTGAGAATTGTCTGCAAAAGAGAACAAAAGTTCTGGCTTGTCCAGCTCTAGACTGTTTCCGTGCCCATCCTCGATATATCATTTGCCACGACTGTTTTCTCCATTCTGAAACTGACCATTTTGTCTGATGAGTAGACCCATTCAGCAAAATTTATTTTTGAGCACCAACCATGTTCACAGATTTTAAAAATACTTTTTGCTTTGCTTTGGCTTTTGTTTCTTCTTCCTTTTTCTTTGGTGGCTTTTCTTTTTAGTTATTTTTTTTCGCATCATCTTCATTTAATTTTTATGGCTTTTTCCTTTACTTTGTCTTTTTTAAATCTTAAACAGAGCTTTCCTCTCACTACACCATCTCTCCTCCACCCCCCCCCCCCCCCCCCACCAGCCCATTTTAAAACTTAACGTTTCTTGACCCAACTAGCCATAAATTCCTGCTCAACCTTTATATATCTTAACAGTTAACAATAAATGATCTCGTCTCTTCCTGCCTAATGTGACCATTATTTGTTTTTATCAGTATTGTTTTGTTCAGCTCAGATTAGTCTGTCTGAGAGCCATTTTGTCAGTATCATGCCACTGTTGCCCTTATCAATTTCTGGTGGTTTTCAGATTAAAAGAGTTGTTTGAATAAAGACACAGTTTTGTTTTATGTTTCATTATTTCCTTCTTAATTTTTGACCTGCAAAATTATGAGGGACCAAGTCATGATTCAGATTTGGGCACACTTTTCTTGTGACTTTCTCAAAACTTTAAAAAAATGATGCTGACGCTCTTATGGAATCTTTTTTCTCTTCTCAATCGCCTCACGCTTGAAGTCCGGTATCTATCGTATACTGGGCCATCCAGCTCAGTTGCTTATGGAATGACACTGGTGATTTATAGAAACAGAAATAACAGGAAAGTGGAGTCTCAAGTCCAGTTGTCTTTAACTCTTCTCTGAGAGCCGAACATTCGATTGTCTCACCCCAACCCTTCATGAACTTGGTTGAAGTGGCGTGGTACTGTGTTTTTTAGTTTTTCCTTTTGTTTCTTTTTTTATTTTGATAAATGGTGACACATTTGTGGCTTTTTGCAAGTCAGTGGGTTTTGTTGAAAGAGAAATTATAATATTGTACTCGGGTGATTGGAGGGCGCCAGTGGTAGGCATTGTATTATGTCCACATTCTTCTTTTTGAACCCAAACAAAACTATTGATTGGATTATAAGTAGGTGGCATTACTGTTGATTTGTGCATGGCAAATTTCCCCCCATGCTCGGCAGCTGAGCCGTGCTGGTCAAGGTCACGGGATGGTGATTACTTTCATGGGTGCTACACTCCGTTATCCGCTCGACGGTGATATCAGCCGTCAATCACAGCTTTGACAGAGCCCGAATTCAGCAATGTTTATGAAATGATAATGACAATTGTTTTATCGCATTTATGTAGTAGTGCATTTTCAGCGGAAGAGTTTTGGAAGTTCTGTACCAGGACAAATTATGGTTGTGTCGGTGCAACTGAATGGAAGATGTTTTTCTCTGGGATGTTATAGAGTACTATGCAATACAATATGGGCATCCCTTGTGAAGTAATGTATTTCGAGAATGAGAGTGGAATGAGTCGCTGTTCTTGGTTCGGGAGGTGCAAGTTGGAGGACGGATTTGTTGTTTCCTCTAGTCATAATCAGAAATTCATTTTTTTCTATATTTTTTGTGTTGTGTACTGAATGTAATTTATATGTATATAATAATATATGTCTGTGAATATACAGAGTGATTTTCATGAATGTTTTGTTGTCATTGACTTCCCCTAAACTGTACGTTGAGATTTACACTTTGTTCACCGTAACTATTCAAAGAACAACAGCCCATAGCATGTGTTCTAACAATTATCAGCTTTAACTTTTGATATGAAATGTATGTTTATATGTGGATGGTTGGTGGGTGCTCTTGTGTGGTTTGCTCTTTCTTTTCTATCAAACGTTTATCTTCCTTATCTCTCCTCCTTCTTTTCTTTGTATGATAGTCTCTAATCTTCGGGCACTTATATGTCCTAATTGTTTTTCAAGTACTGTAAAACTCTTACTAAAACTAAAACTAAGTATGTTTGCATTTATTTGTATTTTCTCATCATGTTGATACTCAAAAAGTCCCCTCTCTTTTCTCTTTCTAATGAGTGAGAAGTAGGATGTGCTACATTTGCTAGTGCTTGTGTAAATGATGTAAGATAAGATAAGATAAGATAATACTTTATTATCCCAGAGGGAAACAATAGCCATGGTGATGCACACCAGAAAGTATTTCTACATATCTTGTTGTAGTTTGTCTACTGAATTTTTACTTCAGTTATGCTGATGGGTGACTGGAGGGTGCCACTGGTTGGTACTGAAGTACTACTTTTCATTATTCCCTCCATTGTTTTGGTCTGTCTTGACTTTTTTTCTGTGCAGTAAATGACTGTCATGTCATTGATGTACTTCTCTTTGTTTACCTGAGTTCAGTTACACAGAGTAGAGATATATGAATGAAGTTTAGTAAGTGCAAGAAAAACAGGGACTGCGTTCAATATCTTTGTTTTTGACCAGTTTGGAAGACTACTGGAGGTGTCAAGTATTTTTTAAGTTATTTTTTGCTTCAGTCTGTCATTCATCATGTTCTTTTTAAATTAGGCACTGTCTGTCAGACTACCTTGCTGGACTGATCATCAAGACTATACTTGTGCTCTGTGATTCTCATTGTGTATACCCCACTCACACACCCCCCAACACTTCCCCTTTCCTCCCGTCCCTCACTCACTACCTTCCCTCCATCTCTTGCTGAGACCAAAGACTCTGAGATACTGTGATGATGAGCCAGTCAAGACCCCATCAGTAGTCCCCCTTCTCTCGTGTGCTTTCTCTGCACTGTTTCTCCTGCTGAGGGAGTAAGAGTGAGGGAGTTTGAGGGAGTTGTGCATTGTTCTGTTATGGTTTGGTTGTTTAGTTGTTTTTTGTTTGTTGTTTTTTTTTAGGGGGGAGGGTGTTTTCTTTTGTTTGTTGCTTTTCTTTTGGAATTAGGGAGATGAAAAGAGGAAAAAAAGTTTGGAAATGGGGAGGGGGGGGGGGAGGGGGGAGAAGGTTGTAAAAGAAGGAGGTAAATCTTCTTTTAGGTTTTCTACAATTATCTTTTTCAGTTTGTGCTTTGTCGTAGTATTTTCTCAGCAGGTGTTTTGATGGGTTGGAGTAGCAGTGCCCTCAGTGCAAGTTTAAAAAAAGTCTGTTTCATTATCGAGCCAGTGGACTGCTCATTTGACTAAATTTGTTGTTGTGTTTGCACATTTAGTGTGTCTGCGGAAACGTAAAATAATTCTGCACACATTTTTTCCCCCCTCTTTGACAATGAAAATAACAAAAGTGAATTAATGTAATCATCAAAATTTCGTGTGATTTTTGGTGTATCGAAAAGTAACTTGTAAAAAGTATTTACTTGAATAAGAATATTAAAAGAGCTGGTTTATATGAAGAGAAGATAACACGGAATGGATTGATTGTTTTTTTCTTTTTCTGTTTGTTTTTTTGGTTGTTTTTTTTTTTTTTTTGGGGGGGGGGGGGGGTTTACATGACATGAATGCCATCTTCTGCTGAACTTTTTTTTTTTCTCGGATTTATGTGTACATACTTTGGTGGTTTTACTTCACCCCCAATGAAGCAAGAAAGCATTGGCTTACTTTTATGATCTGAGCTTTTGGGAAAGAGTAAACTTATTTGCAAAGGATCTTTTTGCTTATGAATAAGTAAAAGATGTTGTGGCTTTAAAACTTGTCTGCTTATATGTATTAGCGTTGTTGTAAAGGGCGTATGTATGCATGTTCATTCACTTGTATTTTGAGAGAGAATGAATGTATTATAAAGCGCCTAGATATGTATTGTATGGGAGTGGCTGCTGCAGAAATTACCTGCATTATTATTTTCTATTTTTTTAAGAAAGTCTTGTCATATCCATCCCATTTTGTTTGTTTGGGTATTCATGCATATTCTTGTGTTTGTATATGCTTGTGTTTCTGTGAGTGTGTGTGTGTGTGTGTGTGTGTGTGTGTGTGTGTGTGTGTGTGTGTGTGTTTGTTTGAATATATGTGGGTGTGTCGCTTCAGTAATTGTCTATAACAGTCAATAAGTGCATTCTCTTTCATTTCTGGCCAGTGAGTTCCATGTTGCACTCTCCATCTTCGTTAGCTCTGCTTTAGGTCCTGAAATTGTACAGAGTAAGTTATGCTATGGATTGTGTTGTAATTTGATTGTCTGGTAAAGCTAGTTGTCAAGTTTTGTCCATTGAGCTCAGGTAGTGAATACGATTTCAAATAATCCTTGTAAGTCTTTAAAAATGCATTATTGGATTTGTTGCAGAACCAGTAACTAATTTGACAATTTTCCCTCGTTTGTTTTTCTTCAGTGGTTGACCTCACAGGTGGTTGGAGGGGTGTCGCTTGTACAAACCACTTTTTTCCTCTTACTCTGTTATTTCTGTCTATCGCTCCTCCTTTTTCCCAGCGTTAAATGATCAATATTATGTCAATAAATGTACTTTTCTTTACTAAGAAAAAAAAAATAGGTAACATCGATTTCAAAATTTATTTTATTTCTATCCTTTCTAAACGAC